TGATGGTGCTCCCTGAAGATTCTGGGCCTTTTGATGAGAGAATGGGCATTTGGGCTGGGGATTGTTGTTGGTTATTGCTCTAGATTTCCCCGTGTGGCCTCGCGCCCCTGGTTTCCAGGCGAATGCCCTGTTTTGCCTAGAATGATGCCATATCGGGGATTATTGGTGCCCTCCACCTCCTTCCCTCCTGTGCTGACCGAGCCCCAGCATTAGAGTAAGCTGCATGCTTAGCCTGTGTGCCTGGGGAAGAAATGTGTCACTGTCCCAGTTCTTAGGCTGAATAATTAACACCAAAGGGAACCGGGGGATGGGGTCTGAATTAGGTAATACCTTATAGCTTCTCCCTTGGTACTTTCAGTAAGTCAGAATTGGGACTTGGGGACCAAAGTCCTCTGATGGCAGGTTCTGGTTTAATAAGTATTATTGTGGAGGAAAAATACGAATCTTCTTCCAAAGGACTCTGTCTGCACCCCTGTCCGTACATGCGTCAGGGGTCCCAGATAGAGTCACTAGAATAGCACTGGCTCTTGAGGCTAAATTCCTCACAGATGTTGAGATCTGGTGTCTAGTTTAGCTTTTTTTTTCCTCTGAAATCAACAGGCCATTATTTTATAGTCCAGGATATATTGTCTCATACTCTTACAAAGCAAAGAGTAATTCCATAAAAAGCCATCAGCTAGGGAAACTAAATACCGGGGTTGGGGAAAAGAAGGAGCTTCTTTTCCTGCTTTATTGTCTCTGCCACCAGTAAAATCACCTTAGTTCTTTTATTTAGAGCTATAACCAGGGTAACTTGACCTTGGGTATGTAATATTACAAATACTAAGCCCCACTATCCTTTCGAATATTGGAGGTGAAAGGTAAGACTCCCAACCAGTACAGTCACAGAAGAGGCTGAAGTCACAGGTATACTTGTGAAAATGCCAAATGAACTCACAATAATATCTCCTGCAGTTGGGGAAGCAGAAGTACATAATGTGTGTGTGAGCTTATTGATGCATTTTTCATTACTTATTCACCTTATCTGGTGAGCAGATCATGAGTTCATGTTGCTTCACTATCCATTTCTTGGACTAGAGCCATTTTCCCCCATTTTTACCATGACAGCCAACACTGTCTTTATAAACAAAAGGTTTTATGTCTTGAGACCTGTCACGTCAGTTCTTTTAGCTACATCTCTAAGAGTATACAGTAGACCCTTGCACAACATGGGTTTGAAGTGCATCGGTCCAACTATACCCTAAAAATCTATTGGAAAGTTTTTTGTAGATTTGCAACAATTTGAAAACACTGGCAAATGAACCATATAGCTTAGAAATACCAAAAAATTTTGAGGTATGTCCTGAATGCATGAAATACATGTATGTATTTTCTCTTATGATTTTCTCAGTAACATTTTCTTTTCCCTAGTTTACTTTATTGTAAGACTACAATATATGATACATATAATTCAAAAGTTAAATGTTAATCGACTTGTTTGTTATCAGTCAACAGTAGGCTATTAGTAGTTGAGTTTTGGGGGATTTCAACTGCACTTAGGGGTTGGCACCCCTCACCCCCACGTTGTTCAAAGTCAACTGTACCTTTAAAAACTCCTCTAACTTTTGCAGGCTTAGTGCTCTCATGAAGTCTGATAAGACTTGTATAAATTAGATGCTCTGAGAGGACCTCCTTTTATGCCTTATCACTGAAGACTGTTGGAGGCAAAATAATAATGTTATTAATTGTTAAAAGGACGTTTTATGAGAGGTGTTTTTCACCATATATGTGTGATATATAATTTTCTCTGCTGATTTTTAATATAAAAAGCAAATTCCTAAGACTGCCTACTTAGAGATTACTTACTTTTTTAGTAGGGGATGACCCCCGCTCCTAGCAGCGCAGACTTTTAAGCCTTTGTGGAAAATGGCCATTTTATCTCCTCTGGTTTGGGGGTATTAATGGAAGGGTGGTTGGTTAGCAAGGTCGATCAGTTCATATAGGTAGTGGGAAAGAACCAGAAAAGCACAGCTGGTCTGTTTAGGTGACCAGCTTCCCAGTTTAAGCACAAAAGTCCCGGGTCCCATGAAATTCCTGGTCCGAAAGTCCAGGACTAAGTGCCACCTGCACCCTGGGCGCCCCTCACTTTCAGGGGCACACTAAAACACCCCCATTTTGCTCGTCTTCGTTAGCCTCCCAAAGTGAGTGGCCCCGTTTCCTTTGAGCTTTTCACCTTGAGAGCGTTTTGTAATCAAGCGCGGAAAGGTAAGTCGTCACCGTGCTTTGTCCTCGGGCGCTGAGACCTTTGAAGCTGGTGTCACGAAACGGCTTTACCGCAGGTGACCTGGGCACAGGAGTAGGGCGAGGAGATGGGAAGTGGCAGTGCGACCCTGAGGCGCCCACTCTTGCCATTTGAACATCCTTAATCATTTCTGGTTTTCTTTTCTCCTTTTATAGACCCTCGAACTGACACAAGACCTACAGAGAAAACCCTTTGCCAAATCTGCTCTCAGCAAGTGGACAGTGATACCGTTTACAGCTTAACACCTTTGTGAATCCCACGCCATTTTCCTAACCCAGCAGAGACTGTTAATGGCCCCTTATCCTGGGTGAAGCACTTACCCTTGGAACAGAACTCTATATATAAAGTATGCAACTCTTCCTTGTACGGGGCAATGTGCCACCTGCCAGCAAAGGACAGCACCCTGTCAGCACCGCCCACCTTCAGCCAGAGCACCCTGTGTGAGCCCCCTGTTGGCTTTTCTGTGGTGTTTCAATATCGCGATGGTTTATGGGATGTTTTAAATGTTTTGTGTTTGTTTTCTTTTGACTTTCTGAGTTTTTTCACATGCATTAACTTGCGGCATTTTCTTAAAATGTTAATCATTCTTTCCCTGTCAAATTTAAAAACAGAAGGAAAATGTACCAGTTACCATTCTGGCTTTGGGCATCGCAAGCGTTTGAGTCTGTGGAACTACATAAACTAACAAATTACATAAACTAGAGGGGGATTTTCTTTCTTCTTTTGTTTGTTAGAAAACTATCCTTTTCTGAAAACTGAACAATGGCACAACTGTTTGCTGTGCGCACTGGTCCAGGGCTGAACGAATGGAGCGTGGCCACTGACCCAGTGCGTCCTCAGTCCTGAGTCAGGGCGGCCGGGGAACAAGACCCCAGCCCCTGGTCTGCCATCGCCACATCGGGAGGGTCTGCGGTCTTCTGTCAGTCTCCTCAGCTAATGCGGTGAATAGTGATGCTATATGTTGGTTAGAAATTTGGATCTTTTCAGGAAAGAAATCAGCTCACCTGTCCACTAATTGTCGAATGCCACTAAAGGATTTAATGTTAAGGAGAAAAGGAAAAGAAAAAAGTAGTCCTGTTTCGTTTTGCAGAAAAAATGAACTTGCAGGTGAGCATTAAGCCAGCAGTGAGAAATGGGTGAGAAGTACAAACCCAAGTCGGTGCTGAGGGAGTTCTAACTTCACTGTTTTCCTAAGTACACCCTTTGATTATTTTTAAGCCTTGCTGTGTATAATCCAATCTACTAGATGTGTGAGTGAGAGGCAATAGCATACAAACTGATTTTTTTATATATAATCTTATAATCTTAGATTGTAATTGTGCAAGTGACACAATGGAAGTATAAGATACGGCAGTTTTGACTCCCCCCCCCGCCCCCCCCCCAATTTCCTGCTTGTATGGATTTCATTTTGTTTTGTTTTCAAAAGTTATGGTGCTGTATAGGTGCTTTCTGTCTAACCTGGAAAGTGTGATTATACTAGTGAACTTCTTTGGCAGACAGAATAGTTGGGAACACCTTGGGTACATATGAAACTGGTGTAACAACGCTCTGATTAGCACAGCATATGCATACTTCTCCAAAGTGATATATGAAGACCCTTTTCTTTGCATAAAATGCATTAGGCATATAAATATATAAATATATTTTATCATGTACAGTACAAAAATGGAACATTCTGCATGGACGTTAGGAATACAGGCTAGTATTTCAGCACAGACCTCCCTGCATGAGTTCTCGCTGACGCTTGCCCCGTGCAGTGGGCACCGACTCCCTTCCACCAACACAGACGTGCCACCCGCCCCCCTGCACTCACTACCAGCCGCCAGGGGCCCCCTTGTGCACCTTTGCTTTATAACGTTTCTGGGGGTAACTAATATTGGTGGTGATAACAGCTCCTAGCATAATGAAAGTTCCATTTGGTATTGTCACGTCTCTCCCACCTCGCTTGGGTCGTCATGTTTGAGCGACGGCCCTGTTGATTTCACCCTGCCTTTTACTGAATCTGTAAATTTTTGTGCAACCGTGGTTATAGTAGACCTGTAGCGCGTGTCGCCTTTTCTAAACTGCTACAAGTTTATAATCTTCATTTTAAAAGTATGTAATTTTTTAAAATATGTATTCTATTCACGGTCTGCTTGTCAGTGAGACAGACTTTGCTTCCTGTATTCCTTTATATAATGCTAGCCACTTTCTCGATTCTTTGGTAGTCTGCTCTACACAAGCACTGTCTAGGATCAGCGAAAGAGGGAGGGCTGCCTCTCTGGGTTTCTGAGTGATGCTGCCCTGGGTGGAGATGCAGTTCAGAGACAGTGGCAGCAGCTGAGCGGGAAGGAGGTGGGTGGAGGGATATCGGATACAAGGGAGAATCCAGAGTGCTTCCAACATGAGAGCCCTGAGGATTTCTCTCCTGAGCTCAAAGAAACAAGCAAGCTAACAAAATAGCTATTTGCCTTTGCAGCTTTATAGACCCTGGGAGCTACTTTTGGAATAAGAAAGGCAACCCTCAAATGTGTTCCAACTTTAAAATCCTTTCAGACATGTGACATCTCATTTATTCTTTTTTTTCCCCCCCGCGTTTGTTACATTTCAGGCAGCATGTCCTACCAAATGTCCTAGAACCAGATTATAATGTAATCTGAAACAGCTGAGGGCGGAATAGAGCCGGTATGAGAGCAGGGCAGCCACAGAGCAGATCAGGCAAATGGAGGGGAAGGGATGCTTTGCATTTTTTATTTTTTGAATAACTCACACAGCATCTACATGTAGAGACTTGTGGAGAGCTGAGATCAGGGCAAAGTCAAGTGCCAGCATCAGTCCCAGGAGGGGGTCAGAATGGAATAATTAGGCCTGTCCAGGATTATGGCAGCTGTACTGTCACCCTTGGCCACACTTAGCTGGCCACCCATCCAGAAGCCAGGCTCCCTTAGACCTGCTGGGTTCTAAAGTGGTCATACTGAGCAGAGGTTTGACCTAAGCCCTCTCTTATATTGAGACCTGCTTTCAGGAAGGGCCGACTGTTGGCCACCATCTGGAGTTCTGAGTGTCACGGGTCCCTCACCATCTCAGCAGAATGCTTAGAAGCCTCTGGGGTCCTGGCCACTGTCATGTTTACATCCTGATGAGAACTATCTGGGGCAACCCTCAGCCTCTAAATAAGCTGCTCTAGGGAGCCTTCTACTTTTTGATGGGAAATTAGAAGAGTAACTAATATTGAAAGCATGACATGTATTCTGGGGCTCTGTTGTTTTCTTCAGGGTTCTAGAACCAGATAACTTTTACCAAAGTTAGAAAAGAGCTTTATCACAAGCTTTCACTGTCCTGGTATGAGGACTGACTGCCAGGTTCAGCGTACCCCATTAACTGTGAATGAATCTGAGGTCAGTTTCCTTTATTGCATCCTCTGTAATATAATATAATGATTGCTGAAACAGTTTTTAAAATTTCCAAAGTCTCTTTCCTGTTAACAGGGGGATTGTGCACACACACATAGGACAAGGCGGACTCCTGTGTTTGGTGTTGAGTTTTAGCATGACATGAAAGGCTTCCCCACCCTGAGGACAGGACCTCATGGCTTGCTGCTCAGGACAGGTATGCTCCGTCTCAGGGTGTCATTTGCGGTGGCTTCCAAACCTGTTAAAGATGGTTGGCACAGACTTCGTCTCTACCTAATGACCTCCTCCCCTCCGCCACCACACATACACACAGACTTAAAGAATCTCTTGGACCATCAAGAGAAAAACAGCCAAACAGCCAGTTTCCTTTCGAGCACTGCTGCCTCCAGCTGGCAAGGGGAAATAAAAATGTAACCCTTTCTCTCTGAACCGCAGAAACAAAACCGTGACAGCTCTGAACTCTGATTTCCTTTCTCTTGCTATATTTGGGGAACATTGTATGATGAGGCATAATTTTTTTTTTTTTAATCAAGAAAAGCAAAACATTTTGTAAAAATGCAATCACTGGCAAAGAGGTACGAAAAAGCCAGCCTCTCCTAGAGACTTGGGGAGGCAAGGTCAAATGGAGGGGAAGTGAAGTTCTTGTGAAATCATGTCAAGATCTGAAAGCAGATGCCCAAGTAACTGAAAAGAATATATTATTTTTGATTTAAATCTTTTGTGGGTAACATTTTATGCAGTTTGAATGAATGAAATCTTTTTCTCTAGTTTTATTTGTATGGTTTTTTGTTGTTTTTGGATGAACGATTGGTTATGAGGCCTCTGCCACACTCCAGAAATACTTGTGTAGCTGCTTTTAAAAATTGTGTCTGGTCACTTATTTCTCTAAAGTTATCTCATTGCCTGGCAATCAGTCTTCTCTCGTATACTTGTCCTAGCACATTATATACTTGGGAAATGTAAACAGGTGTGAAGGAGGACCAGAAAAATTAGTTAATATTAAAAAAATGTGTTGTGCATTTTGGCTTCACATGTTTAACTTTTTTTAAGAAAAAAAAAAGTTGCATGAATGGGAAAAATATCTGTATACAGTATCTGTAAAACTGTCTTATCTGTTTGAATTTCTCGCTCATACCCCATACAACTAGAATTAAATATGGTGCATGGCCATATTCAGACACCTAAGAGTCAAGCAGTTGATACTTTGGTTTGAAGCGCCTCATCCTTTCTTTCAACGCGAACACTATCATATTGCATTTGTACTGAGGATTTTGTCTAACCATATGTTGCCATGAATTAACTCTACCACCTTTCTTCTCAAGAATCAAAGCCAGTTTGATTTGGGAGTCTTCCCCTTTCCAAATGAAATAGAAATGCAGTACTTACTTTCCTTGGTGTTTGTAGATATTGCCTTGTGTATTCCATTTAAAACCGTAATCTAGTTTGTAAAAGAGATGGTGACGCATGTAAATAAAGCATCAGTGACACTCTGTCTTACTCCAAGATGTCTTTTGTTCTTTCTCCTTTCTTTAATCCCAGAAAAGGAATAGCTGAGTTTATCTCAAGGTCTTCCTGCGAAATTATTTCACAGGCTGGAAGAGGCACAAAACTAAGAGACTCTGTCATGAGATCTGTAAATTAAATGAGTCTAGCAAACTTTTTCTCTGACCCACTTTGGACCTCCAAAGACAACCAGATAATTTAATAAAAGCAGACTTATGGCGTCATTCGTGGTGGCTGGTGGCACTTTCGGTGTGCACTGAGTCTTGTTATTTGAAAGAGCTTTTAAGTCGGGAGGCGGGCTTCAGACTCTTTGCCTTCACTGTCAGAGGTTTTGGCCTGTTAAAGTTTTGGACCTAGTAAAGGTCCTCCTCACATGAGTCCAGTGGATAAACATCGGTCATGGCCAGTGCCCTCCTGCGAATCAAAAGCAAATACAATACTCCAGGCTTCTGGTGGGAACAGCATAAGTACTTCCTCTGTGTGAACATTCAGGGCCTCTCAGTGAGGTTAGGGAGAGTTCTACCGTATTATAAAGTTATTCCCAGTAGCCTGGGCTGTGTTTTTCATTTTAATAGACGTTATAAAAATTATTCAGCTTTTACAAACCTGCTAGGATTGGATTCAAAGTCCCAAGCAACATGATGGACTCTTGTTTCAGATCAAGTGGATAAAAAAGATTTTAAAGTTTGGCCTTCGGGATAAAGTCTACATTGGCTGAGAGTCATGCTTTCATAAGTTTATCCTTACCATTGCCTTAATTACCTATAAAGGTAAAACCTCACCATCTTCTAATACCCAAGCCAAGTGGGGGAATGGATTTCATTCAAGATTGCATCCCAATTTTGATTCTGTCTCCCAAAAGGTTAAAGATAGAAATCTAATGCCAGCTATCATAAGAATCTCAGTAGAGCATGCTCCCAAACCAGGTAAAAATTCAACCAAAAAACAATTAAAGTTAATGATCAATTATGACTGAGTCAATCTCAATGTGGCAATGGGCCAGGTCCTGTGATGAGCACCAAAAGAACTAGGACTTGGGCCCTCCCCTCCATGAGTTTCTACTCTAGGTCTAACCTAACTGCTATACTTTGATGAATAAAGAATTAATTCTTGCTGACTCCCTATTTCATCTTGTTTAAAGGAGGAAGAGTTTGGACTAATCTCTAAAATGCTTTTTAAGGCTTTGATCTTGCACATGTTCAAGATCTGTAACGAGGGCAAACCTTTAAGCCAGCAAATGTGACACGTATCAGCCAAGTCACCCACACCAAGCTGGAATACAGTGGTCAAAGGTGGAGGGAGGTAGAATTCATAGACACTGTCTGCCAGATAGTCCACGCCCCTCCACTACTCCCTTGGGACCTGGAAAGGTAGAGAGACGGCTATGGGCGGTAGGGGTAGGGAGACACCTGCGGTGCCCTGGGTGCCTCTCAGCTCACCCCGTGGTGAGAATAGCAGGGCATTTGAGGTGTGGTGGTGAAGAAAGGAACATTCAGAAAGGGACCCACTCCAGCTCTGCTTTCATCTCCAAAGAGGAGCAATGGTGCTGGGCTAAGGACTAGACGCGGGCTGGAGGAAGTGGGGCTCTTCCCGCTGGGTTTTCCTCATTCAAAGGTTAAGAGAAGACTTAGCAATATCTGAGATCTGAAGAAATTAAATTGTGTATGTGTGTGTGCAGTTCTGCCCAGTGCCTATCATAGTAATGGCTCAAAACTGTTTGTTTTTGCCTTTCTTCTCAGGATTTTCTAGAAACGACGAACATCCCCCCCATTCCCACTCGGGGAAGAAAAATCTAAATGCCCTTCTTATATTGGCACAGGACCTCCTCTGTAAGTCCGACATTCATCCATTCCACCAGCACCTACTATGTGCTAGGCACTGTTTGTCCTAGGGAGATGGGCCCAAAGGGGCTGAACTGAGATATGTAGACCTGCTGGTATGAGTGCTTGAGTGGATGAATCCATGAATGCTGCTAAGGGTATGATGGAGGAACAGGAATTAGAGCCAAGGTAAACTAGAGGAAGTGAACATTCGAGCGGAAGGGCAGAAACGGGTTGGGCTTTCTAGCTGAAATGACGAATCTCAGGGACAGAGGCAGGAGGGAGGAAAGATTGGAACATATTCAGGAAACAGTGGGCTTGTTTGGGTCTTGAAGAGCTCAGAGAAGACAGGTGAGAGGTCAGGCAAGAGAAGTAGGCTGCTATAAAGTTCCAGTCCAAGTTGCTTGGACTCTGCCGGGATAATGGGAAGCCAGCAGGGCAGGAACCTGATCAGAGTAGGCCTTGAGGAAGGACCTTGGCACACTGTGGAACTAGATCCTAGATGTTGAAATGAGAAGTAATGATTATTCTAGAACTATTTTCACAACATTTTACCCCTAGAAAATGATGTTTAAATGGCACATGTATTTAAAAACAAACAAAAACAGTAAGCTGCTCCAGGTCTCAGGCCCTACAGATTGCTCCAAAGGCTGAGGGATCCATAACTCAGCATCCCTATAACTTTCCAACCAAGTTCAGAAGCCTCGATCTAGAAGAAACCACAAGAAGCTTGATAATGGTTAAGTCTGGGGATCAGAGAAGGGGCTTTGGCTTTCAACTCTTCACCTCATCTACTATTTTAATTTATCAAAGTGGGAGTGTGCTACTTTTATAAGTATAAATGTAATTTCCAAAGAGCCAAGGCAGAGAGGCTGGCTCTGACTCCTCTTCTGAGACTGGAGGGAATAAGAAATAAGGTGGGAGAAAGGTATTAGGGAGGAGCGAAAGTGGAGAAATGAGAGATCTCTACTCTTTACAAGGAATCTGACTGATAAGTAGTATCATTGCAAAGTTATGTCTTCATAACTTTGAGTTTCCATGATTTCCTTCTATTAACATCTTGAATATCATAGTATAGGAAATACCTAATCAGAACAAAGGAAGGCATCTGTTAAAAGGATTCATATACATAGAAAATGCCCATATCAGATGCACTATTAGAAATGTAATTATCTATTGCTCTTACAAACTTCTATACTGATATAAGAAAAATATAAATAGGAATAGTAGATGCCAGTGCAAATTATGACTGGGGAGAAGTACTAAGATAACATGCAAAAATTGAAATAATTCTTGTGTCCTGGACACATTCAGCCTCGACACTGGACTCAGGACCTCACTGTTCGCCACCATGAATAATCTATAAGTATTCTTTGATCATTTCCTCAAAATTCAAAGTCAGAGAGCACTTGAGCTGCCTGCTGCTCAAGCCCCAGCTGGCAGGGGGCATTGGGAACCATGGCCCATTCTGGTAGAGGAGGATGGCTCTTCTCATCAAGATGCTCCCATTGGCTTACCTCCCCACATACAAAGAGGGTTCTCATGTGGGATGTGATGTGTCCATTGTATTCTGGCGATTGGGTTATAGATTTTTTTTTCCTCAAAATTATCTTTGTTTTATTGTAGTTTTTAAATATTTTAAAAGGTAATGCCTTCAGATGATTCAAAAGCCAGAAAGCATATAGATACACTTGGGGAATGCTTTCTTCCCATCCCCGTATAGTTTTCTGCCTAGTTCCTCCCGCCCCAAAGTTTCTTGTGTACCCTTCCAGAATTTCTCATGCACCTACAATCAATAAAAACATTCTTATTTCCCTCTTTTTATTATGCAAAAAGTACATTATATACCCTATTGGACATCTTGGTTTGTTAATGATTTTTCTCACACAAGGACGAGATATTTTAATAGTTGCATAGTACTCCGCTGTAATGATACATCATAATGTATTTAACCAGGAATCCCCTATTGATAGACACTGGACGGTGAACTGTTTCTAAACATTTGTTATTACCAGCAACACGGCAGTGAATAACCTTATACATATATTACATCCACAGCAAGAATCTTTGTAGGATTAGTGCCCAAATGTGGAATTGCTGGATCAAAGGGTATATATAGAGAGAGATGGACCAACTTGCCCTCCAATGTACCACCTCAGAACACTAACAATATATGAGAATCCCTGTTTATCCTCTATATTCTCTATATTTTAAAAATTAAATTGCAAGTCTGGTTTTCCTCTCCTCCTCCAAGCTCCTTTGTTTAAAGTCCGTATGTAAGGTAATAAGGGCCTGGTGAGAGGGGCGGGGGTTGAGCGAGATGCTTGGGAGGCAGACTCAGGATGGCCTGGTGACGGAGAAGGAGCTCTTGGCACTCAAAGTTGAACACCCATCCTTGTGCCAGCACACTGAAAAGTCATACTGCCAACCTGTCCATCCAGTCTGGCCACATGCTCCGCCCCTCACGCCACCAACTTGGCCCGCCCACCCTCGGGGGCAGCAGCCTGACCTCGCAGCTGCACTCCCTCACCTCCCAGAATTCCAGAGGGGAGCTGTCACCCGAAGGAAACAAGTCTGGTCTCTTTGGCACCAAACCATACACCTAGACCTATTCATAGCAAGATTGCACAACCAGCTGGAGGATAGCCTGGCTGGGCACAGGGAGAGCGGAGCTGCTCCGGGGCCCGGCCCTGACCCAACCATGCCCCTGGGCATGGCTTCCAGCTTTCAAAACAGGGCTGTTACCCAGGGACTCGGGGACCTTGAGGGTCTGACTGGCTCCTCCACCAAGTGGGGGGAACTTGCTCCTCCAAAGGAAAGGCTCTAACATTCTCCTACAGGCTGGTGCCCCAGGAATTCTTTTCCTGCCCTGCCATGCTGGTTGGCACATGGGGTGAGGCAGGTGGGGGGTGGGGAGGCTCTCATTAGTAAATGCAGAAACCAGGAGGCAGGCCTTGACAGAAGAGGAAACCGAGCCACCTAACTAATAGGTCCCTCATGCCCCTGAGGGAGCTGGCGTTCTGCAGTAGGGGAGGGAGGCTCAACTTTGGAACAGGACAGACCTTGATCTGAACACAGCCTTGCCAAAAGCAAGTCGATTAACCTCTCTGAACCTCTGCTTTCTCATTTGTGAAATGGGAACAATGCTGCCCGTGCTGGGGGCCAGGCATGAGGGAGTCA